TTCTTTAAGGAGATTATATGAACTAATTGAAAAGCTTGTAATCCGATTAAGATTCTATTCTCTTGGAATAATAAAATGCAGTCGAAGAAACAAAAGGTTATGAAAATAATTGATTCTTTATTATGTCACTTCACTGTTCAGATGTAAATATATATATTGCTTAAAAATGCATCTAAATGTCACCAATCTTTATTGAGAGATATAAGTACATAACAATATGAATCCTTATATAAAAATTCCTTGAAAGTATACATATTTAGAATGAATAATAAATAGAATCAATAAGCTAAAAGCATTTAGATAAAAATATAAATGGAATAATTTATTACAAAATGAAATTGATGAAGAAGTAAACTTAAAATGAGTTAATATATCTCTAATTTTTATACCTTCCTTATGAGTTAAATTTTAAAAGTATTATAAGGATGAAAAATCTTTAATGTAATAAATTTTAGATGGTTCAGGTCTTTTCTCCTTTTTGTACCATTTTAAATTGCATTTAAGATCATTATTGTTCAAAATAATGAAATTAAAAACATTTTACTTCTAAATAATAAATTTTATGGAAATATATATCTCTGCTTTTATCACTAAACTACTGAAGACTGATATTTTGACAGATTAATCAAAGTAATCAAATTACAATGGTTATCCTCTTTTAAAAATGCGTGACGATTGTAGTTTTTTAAGCTTTCTTTTCTAAACAAGAAATTATTATCTACCTTTTGAATTAAAAATTAAATTAAATAAAATTTAATTAATTTCTTGATAGGATAGGTTTATTTTTACAATATTCTGGATCTTAATGGATTACTTTGGTTCAATTTTATGACCTTTTTTAATAGTCAGTCATACAGTGCCACACTTTTTTTTTCATTCTAATTTAGTATTATTTTACAATTATTCTGAAATGAGCCCTCTGAAATTTTCCTATTATCAACTTCTCTCTAATCTAATCGAACCTTATATCTCTACTCTTAGCCTGCTTCGATTTACTCTATAGTTTCATTTCCGCTTTTAGAGAAGAGCTATCTCTCTGTGCTTTATAAAGAAAGTGTAAGCCTCCAAACTAGATGAGCTCATTTTCTTCTTTTTATACTTTTAGAATGGATATCAATATCAATAGATTGATACTAAAATTGTCAGTTACGAGTAAAAGGGTTTAAATGATTAAGTTTTCAGCTTTTTTCTTGTTTGAATAATATTTTCTAGTTTATAAAAAACTAAAATAGCATCTTAAGTTAAACTAAAAAATAAGTAGTTAGTTATTTATTTGCTCTTATATTTAAAAAAAATGCAATTCAGATATTAGAATTCCTATTATTAAATCATTTCTTCAATACCAATAATACCAATCAGTTCAGAATATAAATGTAAATTTTACATCTGCTCTATCTCTCTTTATTTGAAATGGAGTTAAAATTATTTAATATTTTATAAACTAAATGTACAGGAATTATAAAAAAATAAAAAATTATGATCATAATATCAGAAATAATTATAATAATACTGATCTATAAATTCAGAATCATAAAAGAATTACTCATTTATTCATTATATAATAAATCCATAGACATCTCTAAAAAAAAATAGTACTTCCTTAATTAATAAAATTGTAACTATCAAAAGTTAAAAGCTCTAAAAACAACAATACCTGAATAATACAATTAAAGCCAATCCAACATCAAATTCATAAGTAATCAATAAAAACTTAATCAACTTGCTCATTATTTTATTTCATAAGCATACTTCTTACAATATATCTCTCTAAAATATAAATTAACAATTAGAATTAAATCATCTCACTTACAATTGTTCACTTCATCATGTAAAAAATTATAAATACTTGATTAAAAAACTATTTGAACTTTTACAGATCATTTTCTACAATCAATCATGATTTAAGTACAAAATATTCTGGATTGGTTATAACAAGTTCTAAGTTAATTTAATAGAAATCAGATATCAATTATATTTTCATCGTACTTTTTATTCAAATAAGAAATTAGTTAATTAAACTGTGAAAGAAAAAAAACTACATTTTGATTTGTAAGCTTTAAATCTAGTTCTTATATATTGTAGAACTCATTCAAAATAATCTGGAATATTAATTTTGAATACCCTTTCTCATTGAGATGAAGAAAACAACAATTTAATTTAGTTTTATACTTTAATACACCCCTTTATTAATCATTTTCTAAATTCATTCCTAATTTTTTGTAAACAGACGATTTGGATTTATCGATGAATTTTTTATATTAATTTTTTATTAAATTTGTACTCTAATTATTAAGGATAATATAATCCAAAAGTAAATAAAGTTTTGGAATAATATTTAGACAATTTATTTCTAATTTAAAGATTCATGAATAAAATAAATAATCATACTAATTTTTTATTATAATTATAATTATAATTATATAAGTTCTAAATTATTTTATTAAAATATTCTAAACCTATATCTTCTACAAAAAAAAGCAAAAGAATTCCACTCTAAGGACTAGAATAAAGGGTTAAAGATCAGAAAGAACATCAAAATTGTAGAACTTTTATAAAGATGGGAAAAGTAGTCAATTCTCTTGGAATTTATACATTACCAATAAATAAAAATTAACTAGAAAGATTTCATATATAATGAAAAAGTACTATTATATTATGTTAAAAAAAGAATACAAGAAGATTTATATATAGAGAAAACAGATGATATGGAAAAAATGAAAATATGCCAAATAATACGATAATTTAATTTAGCATAGAAAAATATGAGCTTGTAAAAAAGCAGTTTTTAATAATTATATTCTAATCTATTTAATGTCTTTGTTTTAAATATAATTATATAATATTTTGAATATTATCAAAATGACTTTTATACATCCATCTTTCATCATGTGATGTACATTTCATAATTCCTCTGTATAAATTCCAATACAAATTATGTAATCAATCTTTTTTCCTTTATAATTTCAAAGAATTTGATGAAATTTCAAAAGATGATATGATTCCAGTAATATTTAGAAATTCATAAATTTCAAAGAGATTCTCTATCCCATTAATTATTAAAGAGTTATCTTTAAATTATAATTTTGCTTAT